CCTTCCTTCCTTCCTTCCTTCCTTCCTTCCTTCCTTCCTTCCTTCCTGTATAGCATTTATAAAAAAATCAGTGGATTTTTTTAGCAGAAACCTTGTAAACCAAGAAGTTTGTTAGATTAAAGTGCTGAAAGCAACCTCTAGCCAAGTCTTTATTTGGTAAAACTATTCTTCAAAAATTAGGAAGAGGGCCAGGCATGATGGCACAATCCTTATCCTAGTACTTGAGAGGCGGATGCAGGAGAATCAATATGAGATCCAAGCCAGGCCAGCCTGTTTTATATAGCAAGTTCCAGACCATCTAAGGCTACCTAGTGAGAGCCTATGTGTGCGTGGGGGGGTTGTTGTGTTGTGTTTTGTTTTGTTTTAATGAAGAAGGAAGCAACAGGGCTTGGGAAGACAGCACAATCAGTGAAGTACTTCTTCACAAGTCTGAGTGTGACAGCACATGCTCACCATAGTCTCTGCACTTGGGAGGCAGAATTTGAGTCTAATCAGTGAGCCCCAAGTCCCAGCAAGAGACCCTTTCCTAAAAACTAAGGGGAACAGTACCTGAGGAAGAGCCAAGGCTGACCTCACATAAATATGCATACATACACAAAAAAGCAGGGGAAGGAGAAACCAGATAATCCTGTAATCCCAGTATTTAGGAACAAAGACTAAATGCAACACAAATGCATGTAAAATTATAAAGTCTGTTAGTAAGTAAATATACAAATAGTTCCTGATTGAGGGCTTTTCATCTTTAAGAAACTGTATTTTTTATTTTAGTTTTTAAAATTTTATTTGTTTTGTATATGCACATTTAGAGGTCAAAGGGCAGTTTGTGGGGCTATACTCTATCGTATACTATATGGAACCCAGGAATCAAACTCAAGTCATAAGACTTGGAAGTAAGCACCTCACCTACAGAACCATGTTAGCAGCCTAAGAGACTGTGCTCTGAATTTTGATCCTTTGTCAGGCTAGAATATATGATAGTAATGCCCTTTTAGTATGGTGGCTGAGCACCAGCCGCAGGCCACAGTTACGAGTCAGTACACATCCACAAGTAAAGAGTAAGCATTCGACCTTGCCCTCTGTTGCTAAGCTTTGGTGTTTGGGAGATTAGGCATACTAAATGCATTTGCAGCTCACAGTGGGCTTACTGGTATAAATCTTCATGGACATACAGAATTCTGTAATATGGTGTTCGTGCGTAAATCACTTTTAAATAGTGTAGAGTTTGAAATGCAAAAACCAAAAACTCTTCAAAAGTACTAATGGATTCACAACAACAGAAAGGTATAATTTGTGATGTCAGTCACAGTGGAGGTAATGTAAGAAAGTAGAATGTTTACAGTTAAAGTTACTATCAGCTTAAAATATTGTTATGTTTTATGTACATCCTGTGGTAACCTCAGAGAAGACCCTAATAGAGAACATGCAAAAGAAAACAAAAAAGGAATACCTGTATTTAAAAAAAAAAAAATTAAGCATAAAGGAATACAGGAAACACCAAAAAAGC